AGATATCTAAGAAGACTTAGAAAGGAAGTATGGATATCTGTTGAAGAAGGACCTCATGTTCTTGTTCTTACACCCATCATCGATTAGAATTAAATTGGGCTTTGGGGAGGAGCCACCATGACTAGACCAACTGCATGAGATATAGATTAAATGGAGAAAGATGAAATCTCGTATGGTGTTCCACATGATAGCTTTAATCTCATCATCAACTGCAAGTTAGCCAAAGAAATCTAGGAAGTCCTAAAAAATCTTTATGAAGGAACTGAACAAGCACAAGACAAGAAGCTTACCACTGCGTTGAATGATTTCAACAACTTCAAATCTCTTCTTGGAGAAAGTCATGATGAATCCTTCAAAAGTTTCAATCTTATCATTACCAAACTCTCACTATCAGAAGCAACCATGAAACAAACCTCTAATTCCTGAATGGTCTAGGAAGATAGTGGACCATGGCAAAGATGATTGTTCAAGGTGACAGCAAGATCAAAACTCTCTCTATGTCTATCTGTCTGTGTGTATGTGTGTGTGTACAAAAACTACGGTGAAATTCAAGCTCAAGAATCCACAGTAATAAAAGATTGCATGGATCTCAGTGGACCACTCACTTTTATCACACCCCCAGCCAGTGGCGGAAACGTTGGGTTGTGCGACTCATAGGGATGTCGGAACATAGTCTTTGAACATATATTAAAAAGTACAAAACAATATGTAACATAAAATACACTATTATTCATAGGTGAACATTACATCGGAATACTACAAAGTTCTAATACAAAAGGTGTCCTAACAGGTAGACATAAGAATAAACGATAACAGTCTTCCAGTTGCTTCCTTGATCAATTCTTGTTTTTTAGAGTGCAGACTTCCGCCTCACAGTTTCCTAGGAATACATGGGTTTCTGAAAACGTCAATGTAATGCTTGTGAGTTCACAAGTTTAAATATTATATCTTTAAAAATACTTTCTATATGTAACTTTATGAAGTTGTAAAAGTGTTTTGATTTTATTATCAGGGTAAGTTTTTGTCACACCCCAAAACCGAGAACGGCGGAATACGTTCTGGGGTGGAGGACGTCATGTTCAGTATCATAACAATGCATAATAGTAAAAACAAGCAACCACATCCATTGCATTAATATAAAAATTGTAATACAAGCGTGTTCTGTACATTTATGTAGACACCAAAAGTATAAACAAAATAAAAGATGAGTCTTATATGTGCTCCATCTTCCAAAAACTGCACCAGTACCTGTTTATTGTTGACCTGAGGATACAAGTTATTTTGAAAAATGAGTATCAGCATAAAGCTGGTGAGTTCATAAGTATTTAGTGTCGTTGCTTGTATAAAAGTGTTTACAATCTTGTAGTGAAATGATTGATATCAAAATTTGAAAGTAGTTTGATTCATAGAAAATCCCATATTTTCCAACAAAAGGAGTATTTTACCAAGACTAGGTTATTAGTAAGTTCGTTTCTTTGAAATTATGATAGTCTTCTCGTGAAAATATTAGTAACGAAAATACAGTTTTAGCTCGTTCATTTTAGAGAAGGAATGGAGTTTCACCCCAGCAGCATCCCTGTCGGTTAAATGTAATAGTGAATGTAAACTCCGGATAGTATTAATTTTATATGCACCTCGGGATGTGTTTTTAATTAAAGTTTGAATGTGAGCTCGTATGAAATCATACTGGGTGATAGTAGTACAGTGGTTGACCCTCTAGGTCTCCAATAGTGTAGTAGTATTTGTTATCCCTAGGCCAAAAGGCTCGAACTGTAGCTAGCAGACGGGATGGGGGAAAATTCATCCCGTATAGATCTATACACGTAGTGGTCGCTCTCCCTCCAGGAGACGATGGTTATCCGACGATCGCATAGCAATAGGTCGTATAGAGAGATAGTGCATCACATTCTGTTATAGTATTTTCTTTTGTATGTTATATAATGTTCTCTTAGTATACTATGTACTGTTTTCTTGATGTAGTTTATAGTATTTCTTCTTATAGCGGGTAGTGTTCCCTTAGTATAGTGTATAGTGTATATTGTATAGTGTTATCTTCACATCGTGTATTGTACATACAATCTTGTAATTGTACTGACCGTAGTGTGTATCATAGTAATATAAAAAATGAGTGGTAATCCTTAATTATACCTATTATAGTTAAATTGAGTGCTTGATTTAGTGTCTTCGATATGTAGAAGTATCGAATTAGAATGAAATTTTTTATATCTAACACAAATATACAAGATATATAACTAAATATTAAACGACAGTCGGACAGATAACCTAATACCCTAAGCCCACAATCAAAGAAGAACATGAAATAAGGTAAGTTATCAGTTCTAAGTCCTTCAATACTTATTTATATAAATATATTAGTGTAGATATGATTTGGAAATAATTTAAGGTTTTGAAAATATTGAAAAATGGTTTTAAGACAATTGATTTGTGAAAATGAGGTTTATAAACATTTACAATAACTTTACGAACAAAATACTTTAAAAATGTAAAAATCCTTTTGATAGTAAGTCTTAAATAACGTGTGATGGATTCTGCATTGTATTGAATTCAACTTGTATCCCCCCCCCCCCCCATAAAAACAATTAAAAACATTTGAAAGTATAATTAAAGGGGTATGAACTCACCGTTTGGCGTAGGGTTCAAGTGTGCTATCGATATGAGTGTTGAGTGTCAACAAATGCTCTGAACGCAAGTAGCCCCTATTAATCATATGGTGACACACACACACACACACACACACACACACATATATATATATATATATATATATATATATATATATATATATGTTAGAGCTAGGGTGTTTCATGACTAAAGATGATGGGAAATCACCCTAAGGGCTTGGAATCACTAGGACTAAGTGTCCCGTGTTCTATACTTAATGATTTATGCAAGTTTAAGGCCAAATATGAGTATTAGGGTGGATGTATAACCATAAAAGTGAGTGTGCGGCTGGGGAATGCGGCCAGAATTGTGTGTGAGGCTGCACACTAAAGTGTGCGGCCGTACAGGGTGTGCAGCCGTACACTCCTTGTTTGAGTCCTATTTGTCGATTGTGTGGCCATACTCTCGCTTTCGAGGGTGTTTTGAATGTGTGCGACCACCTGATGAAGGTGTGCGGCCGCACTCCTTCAAGGAGTGAAGAACACGAAGAACACTATGAGTTTTGGGCTTGGATTCAAGTGTTTTACCTCTATAGCTAGCTAAAAGATGATGTTCTTCACATTTTAGAGGCCTTCTAAATGTTCTTGGGTGATGTTTTTAGAGAGAGAAAGTAGAGAGAGGAAGAGAGTGCAGCCAAAAGTGAATGGAAAGGGTCCTCTAATATATATATATATATATATATAAATATAGGGTCGGGTATGAGGCTGGAGGGGGGTTTGCGGTTGGGTGTGCGGCCGCACACACCTTTCTTAGAGTTTAAGCAGTTAAGTTATTACAAATAACTAAGTAAAAAGATGGGGGTATTTACTTTTCATTCGATCTTTGCGCTCCCAAGTGAACCCCGGTCCTTGTTTGGCATTCCAACGAACCTTCACTATAGGGATGCGATTTTGTTTTGTTCGTTTGACCTCTCGATCCATAATCTCCACTGGTTCTTCCACGAAATTGAGGCTCTCATTGATCTCGATCTCGTCGAGTGGGAGTACAAGAGTCTCGTCAGATAGACACTTTTTCAAGTTTGAGCCGTGGAATGTAGGATGTATGTTACTAAGTTCGCGAGGTAGATTGAGTTTGTAAGCCACGGGGCCGATTCTAGCGAGAATTTCGAAAGGCCCTATGTATCTTGGATTTAGCTTTCCACGCTTTCCAAAGCGTATCGTGCCTTTCCAGGGTGAGACTTTCAGAAGGACTCGGTCTCCCACAGTCGACTATTTCTTAAATATTTCTTCATTATGATCATGTTAACGAGATTTTGTAGGACCGAAAACCGGACTGGTACATAAGAAACGGTTCCGGGTAAAGTGGGTCTAAAACCGGAAACTTGAAAACATCAAAATGGGTCGGATGGAGCTGGATAAAATGGGTCTAGAACCGGAAAACCCGAAAAAACCGATTTTTTTGGTAATTACTTAGTGTTTGAATTTTGAAAATTTTCAATTTTGGTATCCCAACTTTGGGGGCCCGTAAGTCATTGAATATTAAACCAAAAATGACAAACTTATAGTCTAAAATCATGTACAAACTCTAAACTACACGTTGCAAAAAATCTCATGATAATTCGACTTCAGAACGAATTAGATATGCATGTTTTAAAAGTTCACAAAATACAACAATAAAGCTGAAAAACAGAAAATTTGTAGCTTTGATATCCCGACTTTGAGAGACTATAGATCAATGAATATGAAACCAAAAATGACAAATTAAAGTCTAAAATCATGTACAAACTTTATACTATACTTTGGAAAAAACAGTATGGTATTCCGACTTCAAGTGAATTAGATATACATGTTTTAAAATTATCACAGAATACAAAAAAGCTGAAAAACATAAAATTTCAAGCTTTGATATCCCGACTTTGAGAGACTGTAAGTCAATTGATTTAAATTCAAAATGACAAAATTATAAGTTAAAATCATATATAAACTGTAAACCACACTCTGGAAAAACCTAATATAAATTTGACCTCAAATGAATTAGATATGTATGTATTAAAATTTTCACAGAAACCGGTTCCAGCCTTTAAAACCGGTTTCGGTTCTTAAACCCGATTTACCCGGATCCGAAGGTCCCAAAGCCCGAATTACCTGGAACCCGGATAGAACCATTCTTTGAACCCAGGACCCGGACCGGTTTTACATGTTTTGCCTCTAATGGTTTCGGTTCCGGTTTGAATTTTCGGTTATAAATCTCATCCCTATTCTAGTTTATAGTAGAATAAAGGTAGATTAAGAATTTCATTTAAAAAATCTGGACAAGGAAAAAGCTGGAAGGAGATAAAATATACTCTTTTATTAAATAGATAAAATAGCTAAGATTATATCACTTCAAAAAAACATACACAACATAAATTAACTAAAAAAAAACATATCCTTATTTTAATGCAATTTTGCGGACCATAAAAAAATAACACCAATGCCACGACACTGACATGGCGCGAGAACAAATACCAATTCTCATGATCCAAACAAACCATAGAAAGTTAGAAACTATCATTCATCGAAACTCTCCATTCTCTCGATTTTCACCCTTTCGTCTCTTCGCCATTTTGTCAAGCACTTCATCTGCAACAACTTTCTCCAGGTATCACCATCTTTAATCATTCCGCTTTAATGGTTCTGAACAATTGAATCTTTCCTTATTCTGCTGTCGACTATCGACACACATGCAGACACAAGCTTTACTCTTTTTCATCAAAATTGGGGTTTTTACTTCCTTACTTTTTAGCTTCCATCGAAGAAAAAATTCCAACTTTTGTGTTTATTGTTTAATACATCGCTTTCCCCTTTTTGGATTTCGCTTTTACAGAACTCATGATTATTGAATCTCTCATGTTTGATTCTCTGATCCTAGTTAGTGTACTCTTTAATCGATTTTAAAATTGTTTGTCATGTGATTCTTCTGTTCATACTCGTTAGGGCTTTAATTTATGTTACTTTTGCGTACGTTTCGACTGTTTGTAATTATGATTTGGAGTTACCTTTATGAGTTGTCATTATTTATCTCTGATATACGATATGGTGGTTAGCTTCACATGCTGTTTGTTCAATGTCTTTTTAAGCTCTCTAATTTAAAGTTTTGCTACTTTTTTTCCAGTTCAATTTCACCACTCTCGCTAGATGCCGCCGCCAACTTATTTCCCTCTCCGGTGGGAGAGCACCGGAGACCAGTGGTGGTACGCTTCCCCAATCGATTGGGCCGCCGCAAACGGCCACTACGACTTAGTCCGTGAGCTTCTCCGCCTCGACAGCAACCACCTAATCAAACTATCATCTCTCCGGCGAATCCGCCGCCTCGAAGTCGTCTGGGACGACGAAGAACAGTTCGACGACGTTGCCAAAAACCGTTCTTTTGTCGCCCAAAAACTCTTACACGAAGGCGACGCCAAAAGGGGGAAAAACTCACTCATTGGGTCTGGTTACGGAGGGTGGCTCCTGTACACCGCCGCCTCCGCCGGCGATTTCCCGTTTGTTCAAGAATTATTGCATAAAGATCCGCTTTTGGTGTTTGGAGAAGGGGAGTATGGGGTGACTGATGTGTTATATGCTGCTGCGAGAGGTAAGAATGCCGAGGTTTTTAGGCTGATTTATGATTTTGCGATGTCTCCGAGGTTTATGGCCATGGGTGGTGGTAATGGTGGGAATTTGGAGGGAAATCTTGGGGGAATTCCGGCGGCTTACAAGGAGGAGATGAAGAATCGAGCTGTTCATGCGGTGGCTAGAGGTGGTAATTTGAATATTTTAATGGAGCTTCTTGGTGATAGTGATGATAATCAGGTTTTGAGTTATAGAGATATTCAAGGGTCGACTATCTTGCATACAGCAGCTGGAAGAGGACAAGTTGAGGTATGAGTTTCTTTGTAAATTTGTGTATTAATTTAATACTTTTTAATAATTTTATAAAACACATAATTCACATCTATTACAAATGATTTATTTAGTTATAATTGTCTAATAATATAATATATAAAAGCTAATAAGTACAAGGGTATTTTTGAAAATTTATATAAGGGTATTAATTATTATAATTAGGTAGATTTTCTTTTCGACAAAAAATAAATAAATTAATATACGTTGCAATTTCTTGATATTTAGGTGGTGAAATATATTGTCTCTACATATGAAATGATAAACTCCAGAGACAAACAAGGCAATACACCTCTCCACATAGCCGCATCCCGTGGTCAAATATCAGTAGTTGACTTTTTAGTCAAATCCTCTCCATCTTCCATACATTCAAAAAACAATTCCGGCGAGACATTCCTCCACGCGGCGGTGACCGGATTCCAAACTCCAACATTCCGGCGACTCGACCGCCAGATCGTTCTCATGAAACAATTAGTCTCCTCAAAAGCCTTCAACATTGAAGAAATCATAAATAATACAGACAACGAAGGAAGAACCGCGCTTCATTTAGCAATCCATGGCAACATCGATGTCAATCTGGTGGAATTGCTCATGACGGTTGGAATGATTAATGTCAATAAACGCGACAATCACGGATTGACACCTCTCGATCTTTTGAAACAACGGCCCGTGTCTCCGTCATCGGAATCGCTAAAACGACACCTCATTTCCGCGGGAGCAATTCTCGGGAATCATGATTACACCGCTAGGAAGATTCTCGCTTCCCATTTGAGAAAAGGAAGCGCCGGTGGAAGCCCTGGAACGGCGTTCACCGTTTCCGATTCCGAAATCTTCTTGCTTTCTGGTACCGAGAGTGTGGCCACACGCCCGGTGTTGACCGAACCGAGTTCGGAATCGAAGATTCCGAACGTTGTCAACGTTCCAAGCAAGAAGAAACACAAAGGGATAAAGCGATTCCTTCGGTGGACGAAACCGAGAAAAACCGAAGAGAAACCGGAATTGGAATTACCGATTCCACTCCGGCAACGGTACTCTAAACCGGCGTCGGTGTCAGTGTCGGTGTTGCCACCGAACAACAAGCGGACGCTAGCGGCGCGGAGTAATCTTCCGAGTCCGACCGCGAAGAAGAAGCTTGCTTCGGGATTGGTGAATGGAGTTATGCAAGCGATGCCGAATGTGAACCGGAGATCGCGGTCTAATTCCTTCTCGAGGTCGTCGGCTTCTTCTCATGCTTCACACACCGGAATCGGATTCGGAAGCGGAAGCGGAATTGAGTTTCCGGGCGGGTCTAGCTCGATGTATGATGATGGGTTTGTGGGTAAAGAACATGGGGTTGTGAATAGGAGGTCGTCAGTGAATCAATACTTTTGTTTTGGTGCACCAAAGTTACCGATGGAAACGGGTGGTTCGGAACAAGAGAGGGAGGATGAGATTTATGATCGTTATGTTTTATCTACTGCTTAAGAGAATTACGAGGTTAAATAAAAAATGTAAAAGTGTTTAACATTATATGGTTGTTTTTTAGTGGTAAATTATGTATGTTTAGCTTCGAATATGTCGAACTTTGTTTAAAGTTCAAATGCCATATTATTTATAAGGAATTTGGGCCTCGTTTGGGGTTAATGGGCTTTGGCATTTGGTTTTTAGACAAAGTGAGGGTTTTGGGTTGGGTTGTATAGGGAATAGACTATAGACCTGCCTGGGCCCAAAGAGTTTAGGCCACTTGGCAAGCATTTTTCTCTACAAAACACATTATAAGCCCATGTTAGAATGTTCATATGCACAAATATTGCTAAATATCAGACATCAGGTAGTTACCTAGCAATCAATTTAGCTACATTAAACAAGAAGCTCTAACCTGGTGGGAGTTTAGTATCGTTAATGAAATTACTATTTCTTGTTCTTTTATATTGATTATTCTGTTAGGCCGGAGAAAGTGGTCACCGAAACCGCATTCTCTTTACTGCTGTATGTGCATCGTATCGTTTTTTTACCACATAGGAGTAGTGCCACACATTTTTTTTTTTAAAATAATTTAATAAAATAAAACTTCATTTTAAAAAAAAACATTACACTGCATTACTTGGGTTTATTTTATTATTTTTTTAATGGATAAAATCTTTATTAAAAAAAAGATAATATTCATTAATTAAAAATAAAAATGTCATACATTGCTTAAGTTAAAAAAAACCTAAAAATTCAGAAAAGCAAATTAGAAACATAAAACCTACAACTTAAAAAAAACACCAAACGATTAACAACTTGAAAAAAAAATAGAAGTTAGCCATGATTTGGGTAACGTTTTTTTCACTTCCTACTTCATCGCCAAAATAGCTTAAAGCTCGTCCCCGATCATATTCATTAGGTCCAACGATAATATTCTCATGTTATTGTCCATTTGTTTTCGAAGCTCTCTTACAGAAGCAATTTGCAAAATCCTATCAATTCTATCTATTATACTCTTCATGTCGGCCCCCATTTCTTTCATCTCGTCATCTGACGCTTTGCTTTGCCTTTGCTTTTTTTACTTTGTCTTTTCTCATTGATCGGGAAGGTGGTGAAACTGGAACAGGTTCATCTTCGTTCAGATCAAATTGCACACAGACATTTGATGTAGTTTGGTCGGGCTTAGATGTTCTGTTGCGTTTTGAACCACTGTTGACATGCTCGTTTGATGTTTTGATGTTTTGCCATTTGTTGTTATCTTTCACAAAATTCCAAACTTCAAAAAACTTGAAAGCCTATACGTTTTCTTTTTGATACACTTTCAGCGCTTTCCTAAAAATCACATCATCGTTTTCTCCACTTTTCCATTAACGTTTCATGTTAGTATACACATAACAACATGATTTCCTTGTTCATCTTCCCCTATTTCGGAGTACACTTGATGTTTTGAACGGTATTATCCACGGTTCATTCCTTTATGGAACCTATGTAAAACGCGAATCCAAAAACGGTCATGCTTTTGGTCTTTTCCGATTGTCGCATCTTCTGAAATATCGATCCAAGATTGTACCAACACTAACACTTCTAGGGGTTCCCAACCTTTAGCCTACGCCTTCTCTTTTCTTTTAGTTGTTGCTCGAGTGGGCTAAGTTTCTTCAACAAATTCAGGTTCGGAATCAGAAACGACCGTTTGTGGTTGTATTTGTATTTGTAGAACAAACTCGGGTTGAGAAAAAAAATCATATTGATTAAAATCTATATCAGGTTATGGTAGTGTTTGTGGCAGTGGTTGTGTTGGTCGTTGTGGAACATACAGAAGCATACCGCCATAGTGGTAATACGGAGGTGAAAAAATCGGTTGATGAAATGAAGATATTGGGGTTGCGATGTTTCTAGTGGGTGATTTTTCTTTGGTGAACATTTTGGAAGAAGACATTTTGAAAAAAAAATAAGGAAAACAAAGTAAAAAGATAAGGAATTATTGTGAAGATCTTGTAAGAAATGGTAAGTATATATAGGGTAAATAATAATAATAATAATAATAATAATAATAATGATAATAATAATTATAATTCTGCACAATGGATCGTTCAACGGTCAAAAGTTGCACCATCCGATCAAAAGACGCGGCCAGAACTCGCCATTCTGCGGCCACAACAGCAGGAAACCGTACCGAGGAGGCGGTGTTCGCAATCCAGGTGGCAAAACCGCGGCTTGGAACCGCGCCCACTCCCTGCAGCCTTAGTGTTCATCGCTAATAAGGTAATATTCGCATCACGTTCAATGGATTTTTTTGTTTGAGTTCCATATATATATATATATATATATATATATATATATATATATATATATATATATATATATATATATATATATATAGGTTTAGGTTCTATGGAAAACAAAAAACCTTAAAAATCATAAAAATGCATTAAAAAAAATACTTAGAGATCACAAAACTTTTTTTTTGAATTTTTTTTATAAAAAATCGCAGCTTTTTATAAAAATTCGCTGAAAAAAAAATAATTTGTTTTTTGTAAAAAAAGTTTTTTTTTTCAAATTTTTTCAGCGGTTTTCTTTAAAAATCTGCGATTTTTTCTTAAAAAATGTCAAAAAAAAGTTTGTGATCTCTAGGTATTTTTTTATGATTTTTAGGTTTTTTTGTTTTCCAAATAACCTTTCTCTAAATCTGCGATTTTTTTGTTTTCCAAATAACCTATATATATATATATATATATATATATATATATATATATATATATATATATATATATATATATATATATATATATATATATATATATATATATATATATATATAGGTTTAGGTTCTATGGAAAACAAAAAACCCTAAAAATCATAAAAATGCATAAAAAAAATATTTCGAGATCACAAAATTTTTTTTTGAATTTTTTTACAAAAAATCGCAGCTTTTTATAAAAATTCGCTGAAAAAAAAATAATATATATATATATATATATATATATATATATATATATATATATATATATATATTTTGTAAAATTTTTTTTTTTTTTCAAATAGATACTGTATGTAATTTGAGAAATCTATTTATTTACGGGTCTAGCCACATGTTTGAGGTTTTTTTTTTTTTTTTTTAATTATTATTATTATTATTATTTTATTTTATGATAGAACAATGATAGCATGGCGGATCCACAATAGATCCCGAGATATCTTGTGATGCCTCTCAAAAATTTTTAGTAGTGTAAAATTTTTCAGAAAAATTCGTTTTATGTTGCAGTTTTATATCGGAAAAAAAAATTAGGCTACTATAAAAAAATTTCAGGTTATTTTTAAATACAAAATACAAACTAGCTTAAATGATCAAAATTTTTTAAGCACACACCAACTAGTTTATTGAAACAAAGAGTTATAAGCCCGATTGGTTTAATGAAAACAAATCGGATATCCTCTCCTTGTGTGTTGTCATCGTGGACTTATGTGTTATGTTGACTCGTCTTCTGTGATCGTCAATTCGTCATCGCCGACTACGCACCCCTCAGCCACTACATGTCGTCCTGCTGGAAGGAGAAATCTGGCGACCTCCTCCTCAGATCCTCTTGCACAATGAAACAAGTTAATATATAAAAAAAAAAATACACAATCCTATAATCTATTGTTAGGTTAATTCAAGTTCCAAAATTTTCTCATCATGTTGAAAAATTAGAAATTACCAATTAGGTTTGTTAAATTAGGGACTTAAGAATAATAATTAATGATTATTTGTTGTTAAAAGTTGAAATCAAGTTATAGTTGATATATTTTGATTATAGGTTGCTATTTGTTCATTTGTTGTTGAAACTTGAAATCAACTTTATAGTTGATATATCTTGATGAATGATAATTTAATTGTAGATTGTTATTTGTTGTTAAAACATGAAATCAAGTTTATATTTCATTTATTGTAGGTTGCTATTATTTTTTTTCAAAAAGATAATTAGATGTCGGAGACAACAATGGTGAATGAACTTCCAAAAAAAAAAGTAGGGCTAATGAAAGTAACCAAGTTCCATAAACTAATCAACATATGCTAAAGGTTTGAACCTACTAAAAAAACAGGGCTAATGAAAGTAACCAAGTTCCAAAAACTAATGAACCTACTAAAAAACCAAAAGTGACACAATCTTTTTATTTTAATGATCTTCCTTCAAACACAGGGGATAGGTCAAATATTACATCTTATAATCCTAATCAATGGATGAAATAAGGAGGACATATTTGACTAAAGGACATTGTCAAGCAAGGGGGCATAGTTTTGAATTTACCATATTTAGTAATTGTTAACATATCCCTCTAGGAATACGTTAAAGATAACAGAACTGCTATCTTTAGGATGACTTAGCTAACGGTCGCTAACTACGATCCCTCACCCTCACGGCCTCACACTAGGAATTTGACGTTTGGTGCTCTCGTGTCCAAGCCCTACTTTAAACGATAATCTTCGGTCTATAAAAGCGAAAACACAATTGACCATTCCCTAGGGTAACAAGTGTAATGGTTAGGGCATTATTCTTTACTCCATCTACACCAATATCAGAGAGGATGATCACTGGTGGTGCATAATTCACCAATGAAACTCCTCCATGTCATGTCGGCCTAGACGAGACAAGGGAAACCATTGGGATAACGCTCAACAAATGACATGTATAAAAGCAATCTTTCTCCCTCAGAGTAGATGATCACTTCCTTATAGCTAAAATCCCGATCTGTGCATTCTCATATACAAACTCAAACTAACTAGACCTGTCAGACCTTCTTCCCAGGACCAACTCCCAGACCTGTCAAGATGATACGGACCGGAAGGTTAACCGAGTCTGGGATGGAAATCCCCTGAGACACTTGGATCGGAAGGTCCTATGGCCTAGAAAGGCGTATGTGATATATATGGTATTTTGGGGAACTCACTAAGCATTTATGCTTACAGTGTTATGTGCTATGTGTTTCAGGTACTAGCGATGATCGCGGGAAGGCACCGGCATGACTCGTACACACGCACACTGGAGTTTAAATATTTTGATCTTGGGGTTTTGTACTGATACAATGTTGATACAATGTTTTTATTTATGAATGCAAACTATATTTTGTGGTTTTTCAAAAGTGAAAAATTGTTCAAATTTTTACGGTGTTACAAGTTGGTATCAGAGACTTGGTTTGAGGGATTTGGATACATCTTCGGGCGTATCTGAACTGAAACTGGGGATTTGAGGAAATTTTTTAATAATAAAGTAAATTTTTTGAAAAAGAGAAAAAGGGTTTTGAGACAAACGGAGCAGAGCCATGTGTACAATCAACCAGCGCCAAACGTTGATTTCCCAAAATACTATCATAATAAATGTTATCAGATATGCTATGTTATGCTATATGATGTATTACGATATGCATGCTAGAGTAGACT